ATTATTATTAGTTTTTATTAGTTTTTATTTTTTATTAAATAAATCATTTCAATTAAAGTAAAATTAATACAAATATAATAATAATAGTTATAATAATCTATTGATTAATAAATATATTGATTAAAAATCTTAATTAATAAATAGCTTAAAATTAATTAATTTGTTATAAACTGTTATTATTAATAAATTTTCTCACAATTATTTCCATTATTATTAATATTATTAATAACTTATTTTATTTTATTTTATTAACTTATCATTTAGTTTTTAGCATTTATTAATTGGCACTTAATTAAGTTCAATTAAACTAAAAAAATTTTGTTTTATAAAAACTAAAAAAATTTTAGAAAAAATTTTTATATTAATATATCAAAAAATTAAATTATATCAAAAATATATTTTAATTTAATTACAATATTTAACTACAAGTAATAAAATTAAACTATAATAATAATAATGTAATTAAAAACATATAGCTTTTTAAATCAAAAAAATAAAATAAAATAAATTTGTTTTATGTTATCTAATCATATGATTTATACTTTCATCAATGTCTATGCATTTAATTAGGAAAAGTTTTATATATTTTATATTAATATATATATATATTGATAAAAATTACTTATCATTATAACAAATATATATATATATATAATATTTAAACAGAAACTTAGTTTACTATATATTCAATATATATATATATATATATATATATATATATACAGTATATGTAGAGATAAGTATATATATATATATATATGAAAGTCAATGCTTTTAAGGAATTATGTTAATAAGGAATGGATTTATAAAACAATTAATTATTTGTTAATTTGATAATCAATTTTTGTGATTAATATGTCATTAGAGAGCTATTTATATGGTCTCTCAAATGTAATCATCAATTTAATGCCAATTATTATCACAATAACACAATTGTGTCACAATTAAGACTACCTCTGTTTAACAATATTAAGAACGTAAACAATAGTAATTTTAAAAAATAATTACAATTAAATTAACAAATAATTAATTAATTTTTAATTTTTTTAATATATAGTATATATCAATAAATAGATTAATTGAAAAAACAATGACTATTATTATGGTTTTGATTTACTTTTTAATTATTTAGTCATTTGATTACTAAAATTTAATTAAGGAATGGATAACAAAACGATTGAATGACAAGTTATTAGCCATAAATTATGACAAAAAATAATAAATTATTTTCAAATTGTTAAATACCTTAATACATTACATTAATGACCATTTATATATCAATAACACTTTACAATATAATAATACCGACTTACCAAAAATAATACCGACTTACCAAAAATAATACCGACTTACCAAAAATAATACCGCCTAACCAAAAATAATACCGCCTAACCAAAAATAATACCGACTTACCAAAAATAATACCGACTTACCAAAAATAATACCGACTTACCAAAAATAATACCGACTTACCAAAAATAATACCGACTTACAAAAAATAATACCGACTTACCAAAAATAATACCGACTTACCAAAAATAATACCGACTTACCAAAAATAATACCGCCTAACCAAAAATAATACCGACTTACCAAAAATAATACCTCCTAACCAAAAATAATACCGACTTACCAAAAATAATACCGCCTAACCAAAAATAATACCGACTTACCAAAAATAATACCGCCTAACCAAAAATAATACCGACTTACCAAAAATAATACCGACTTACCAATACTAATACCGACTTTTATATCGAAATACCATGTTCCCATAGAAATATTGTTTTTTATTACCGTGTTCCCATATATTTTTTTTATTCTCATATTATAATTAAGATAATTTTAGGTACAAGGTATAATATAATTAATAATGTAACACGGTACTTATATAAAAAACTATTTGCTGGGAAACGGTACTTATTTTTGAAAAAAACTATTTTTATGGGAAGACGGTACTAATTTTAAAAAATATTTTATGGGAAGACGGTACTTATATAAAAAACTATTTGCTGGGAAGACGGTACTAATTTTAAAAAATATTTTATGGGAAGACGGTACTTATATAAAAAACTATTTGCTGGGAAGACGGTACTAATTTTAAAAAATATTTTATGGGAAGACGGTACTTATATAAAAAACTATTTGCTGGGAAGACGGTACTTATTTTTGAAAAAAACTATTTTTATGGGAAGACGGTACTAATTTTAAAAAATATTTTATGGGAAGACGGTACTTATATAAAAAACTATTTGCTGGGAAGACGGTACTTATTTTTGAAAAAAACTATTTTTATGGGAAGACGGTACTAATTTTAAAAAATATTTTATGGGAAGACGGTACTTATATAAAAAACTATTTGCTGGGAAGACGGTACTTATTTTTGAAAAAAACTATTTTTATGGGAAGACGGTACTAATTTTAAAAAATATTTTATGGGAAGACGGTACTTATATAAAAAACTATTTGCTGGGAAGACGGTACTAATTTTAAAAAATATTTTATGGGAAGACGGTACTTATATAAAAAACTATTTGCTGGGAAGACGGTACTTATTTTTGAAAAAAACTATTTTTATGGGAAGACGGTACTAATTTTAAAAAATATTTTATGGGAAGACGGTACTTATATAAAAAACTATTTGCTGGGAAGACGGTACTAATTTTAAAAAATATTTTATGGGAAGACGGTACTTATATAAAAAACTATTTGCTGGGAAGACGGTACTTATTTTTGAAAAAAACTATTTTTATGGGAAGACGGTACTAATTTTAAAAAATATTTTATGGGAAAACGGTACTTATTTAAAATACATTTGTATGGGAACACTGATTATTTAAATATTAATATATATTGAATATTGATATATATATATGTACTAATAGTATAGTTTTTTATTTAGAGTTTTACGGTATAATGTTATAAATTTATAATCACTATATTTATTGACATTATTGATGTCCATTTTGGTTGTTATTAGTATTTTCTATTCTTTATATTAAAATAAATTCATTCTTTAAAAGCATTACTTATCATATATATATATATATTGAATATATTTGATTATTATAAGACCAAAGTTTAATAATAATAACAACATAACGAAAAAATATATAAATTTACAGAAAAAAACTTCAAAAATATTTTATCATAAAATATAGAGATATCGTATTTAACAACACTATTGGAAATTATACTGTAGTTTAATAAAAACTGTATTCAATAACAAAATTCATTACTAAATAATATCTATGAAATTATAGTAAAAAAATTTTTTTTTAAAGTTATTTAATTCAATTAGACATTTAAATAAAAATCACGAGTTATATATTGTAATAATAATAATAATAATAATAATATTACAAAATATTAATTAATAAGTTAAACATTTTAATTCAATTTAAATAACTATTTTTTTGTTTATTTATTTATTTATTAATTAGTTATTATTTTTTATTTAATTGTGTGAACTCAATGTCACTGTTAATTAAAAGTGTATTTTTATTATAATTTATTTTTTAATAATTAATTAATAACTAATTATTTTTTTTAGTTAAATGTATTCAAATTTTTTTCAACAAATTATATCATTATTTAACTTGAAATGCGAGGAAACATGAGTTTCAAAGAAGTTTACATTTGATATATAAATATAAAAATTAATTAATTATTTTTTATTATTACTAATAATAATAATTAATATAATAATCAATTTAATTAATTTGAGAATTGATTTGAAACTCCAAAAAACCGAAAAAACCCGTAAAAAACCCGAAAAAAAAAACTACGGAAATGTTTTACCGATTAATTACATTATCGTCGCTAACATTAGCTATCAATTTATCATTGATTGGCCGACGATCACTGGTGGCCAGTGGCCGGCCGGACAACAACAACAACAACAAAGTCTATTATCTACAGGACTACTGCCACTCGTTGACTATCAATCATAGGATACATATCGGCGGACCCGCCGATGATGAGGACAACAATAGCTCGGATGACCAGAAAAAATCGGTAATCATACGGGCCAGTCGTGGTCCAGGCGGTTACAAATCGGATATGGACTGTCAGCTTCGGGTAGTCAATCGGGATCCGCGACGATCGGGACTTAATATCAATTTGAATTATCTAGACTTACGTAAGTCTTCATCGGCGGAGGGGTCGGCGCCGCCAAACAATCCATACTTTCGCGACTATTTGGTCATCAAATTTGACGATAACTATACAAACTTGTGGTACGATAGCGACCTGATTGGCCACAATAATAGCCCGGCTGGAGATCGGTTAGTAGCATCGGGTGACGGTTTACTAGTGATAGGACGGGCCGATCGACCCGATGAAGTGGTCATCAAGTTTGTAACGACAACCAGTCATCACAACAACAACAAACGGCCGGTTAGTGAGGACAACGGCTTCGAGTTGATTGTCACACAGTTTAAGGACAACACCGCCGCCGATGGCGGCGATACCGATGGCCGTAATAATAACGATATGAACAGCTGTACAAAGCGGTCGCTGTTTGATTGCGGTAACGGCCTGTGTATTGACCGACGATTTCGGTGTAACGGCTACGACAACTGCGGTAACAATCGGGACGAAGAGGACAACTGCAAGATTTCCCGACAAAACAATTATTTTGATTTATTTGAAACCGGTTTCTGGTTTGGGTTTCAAATAGTTATGGGTCTGCTATTGGTTGGCCTATTGTTGGCCATAATGTCGTGTTTGTGTCAGAAATACGATGAAAACGCAAGGTTTAGGAAACAGTTTCTACAGAATCAGATGAAACGATATCAGTTGAGAACTGGAGGAACGGTATTTGCGTCGACACTACAGACTCGGACACCACTTTATCCACAGTTGTATCGGACATATGGCGGGACAGAGGCTTAGAGATAGAGAGAGTAAGAGAGAGAGAGAGAGAGAGAGAGAGAGAGAGAGAGAGAGAGAGAGAGAGAGAGAGAGAGAGAGAGAGAGAGAGAGAGAGAGAGAGAGAGAGAGAGAGCAAAGAGAGCAAAGAGATGGTGTGTTTGTTTTGATAATCATCTGATCCATCAATAAAACAGAAGACATGACTACATTAATCCATCAGTTTTTTTATTACTATTTTTAAATATTAATATATATATAAATCAATTGATGGCTTAGTTTAACAACAACAACACTATCATTATCATCAACTACTTCATGGATGAATGTCATCGACAAACAAAAAATTCAATCAATCCATCCATCCATCAGTCAAGTGGTGCCGATCCCGACTCATACTCCATAATCTCCGGTTCCCGACGACGGCCAACACACGGACATATAGTACTCAGAAGTTTGCCAACAAAACCGACTTTTTCACCGCCGGCGCCGTCGCCGTCAATGTCCTCCTCATCCGCCTCTCCTCCGCCGCCGTCACCAGCTTTGCCGCCACGACGACTGCGGCGACTGCCGACGCTGCGACCACTTCGTCCACTTTTTGCCGATTTTATTGATTTTTCACGTTTTTTTGACGTAACTTTGGCCTCAGTTTCTGCAATCAATCAATCAATCAATCAGTCAGTCAGTCAATCATCGGTAGAGTCTAATCATCCCCAAAGTGTCGGTACAATCAATACACACATGTATACCACACACACACACCCACACATACCTACAGTACACACACCCACACATACATACCTGACTCTTCAGCTGCTGTAGTCATTTCATCTGTTTGTTTGTTTGTTTGATAAAAACCAATTGAAACAAAAAAAATTGTTTTTTAATATAAATATAATTAATATATAATAATAATAATAAAAATATTAATTAAATTAATAGTTAATTAATTAATTAATTAAATTAATCCAAAAAACCTTCCGAAGCTTCCGGTTTCTTCTTTCGCGGCGACAGTTTCATCAAAAATTTCATTTTTGTTATCAATAGGCCGATACCGGATGGACCTACAAATGAAAATATAGGTGGGTGTTCGGGAATGGGTGGGAACAGTATATAGTTAGCAAAAAAATCAAACTTTATATATATAGTAACATATATGATATCAGCTCATGTATGTCAACAACAATAATCAATAATCAATTGTCTAATTACTAGCGTCGGGTGCATTGGTTGTCGACGATAGTCTGGCTATTGTCTTGATTTTTCTGAATATGGATCCAATTCCTGATGATTCTGTATATGATATATCAATGACCACAACAACAACAATAATAAAATACAAATCAAATATAAAGTCACACAAACTTTTATCGCCGCCTCCACGGCTACCGTCCAAACCTCCCTCATTGTCCGTATCAGTGGTGGCCAGTATTGAGTCACGTTTGCTGGGCGACAGTGCAGCCGATGTTTTGCCAATTGCACGGATCTTCTTCTTCATATAGGCCGGCGTTTTAGGTGTTCCTGTAAATTGAAAACCAAAAATAAATCCAAAGATTATCACTGAAGAGCTGATCCCCAAAAAATAAGACAATTATTTACGTTCTTCGGCTTCTACTTCTTGATGGCCAGACTTTCGCGAAGGACTCTTATGCGGCGATAGTGCGGCCCTTACCTGACCGGTAGCTCTGATTTTTTTCAGGGCCGCACTCCTGGCCCGAGCCGACTGATGTCCTGCGGCTGTGGTGTCCTCCGGATCGGTAGTTCCTTCGCTTTCCTCGACGAGTACCGAGTTTTTAACGGATCGACGATCCGGCGAAAAGATCAGAGATGTCTGGCCGGCGGCTCTGATCTTTGACCTCAAGCGACGTGTTGTCGGCGATACTGTTCATAATGAGAGGTCATATAATTTATATATGAATGATATTATAAAGAGAGAGACAGAGAGACAGAGAGACAGAGAGACAGAGAGACAGAGAGACAGAGAGACAGAGAGACAGAGAGACAGAGAGACAGAGAGACAGAGAGACAGAGAGACAGAGAGACAGAGAGACAGAGAGACAGAGAGACAGAGAGACAGAGAGACAGAGAGACAGAGAGACAGAGAGACAGAGAGACAGAGAGACAGAGAGACAGAGAGACAGAGAGACAGAGAGACAGAGAGACAGAGAGACAGAGAGACAGAGCAAACATACGGTGCGAATCGGATTCCGATTCTTCTTCGCTGACCTCTTGGCCGCCAATTTTTGGCGACAATGTCCTCTTCGGTGATTTCGGGGCTTCTTCGCGACGTTGTTTGGCCGACATTAGCCGTTTGGCGGCTACTGTAGGACTTCCGGCTGAAAAAAAATCAATCAATTATAAGATATACAGTAAAGTATAGTAAAAGTTAATGAAAGATAATTAATTAATTAATTTATTTTTAAATAATAAAAAAAATCAATACATACGACCAATAAGTTTTGATAAAATTTCGCCCCCTTTGGCCAGCCTTTCATCCTCTGTATCCGATGCGCTATCATCTGATCCATTGACACCATTGGCCGGAAAGGAAATGTATATTAAAAATAAATAAATAAATAGATAATTGATTACAAAAAAATTATTAGATAATAATAATAATAATAATAATAATACAGTAATTGCTTAAACAAAAAAAAATTAATAAAACTGTATTAAGTAATTAATAAGATATTAATTTAAACATTTATTAAACTAATTGTTTTATTTTATTAATTAATTAATTTAATTTTAAAATTATATTTTATTTTTTTATATGTATTAGTTAGTTAGCTAAACAACATTTTTTTAAAAATAATTTTAAATCTCTCTCTCTCTCTCTTAAAAATTAATTAACAAATTAAATTAAAAATAATTGCTTGTTTGTATGATTAAGTTAGCATACAGTCAACAATACCTATAAATACCTTAAAGTAATACAGTATTAGCATTAATTAGTATACATACATTGAAATACTTGTTTGCCGGGCACCGATAGTAAACCGCCATCCTGTTCAATCCATCTACCCTTACCAATCGATGATACCAGTCCAATGGTACGGGCTTTTTTCTTCAATACCTGATTCAATGGTACCGGTGTCAGGGTTAGTAACGGTACGCCACGATTATTTGGCGACCGTTTAGTTGGTGACCGATAAAACTGTTCCGATTTCAAAACGGATACTTTTATCGGTGAATGTATACCAGTTTTGACCGGCGATACCGGTATCGACCGCCGATGACTCGGCGATGAATGTGACGATGATGGCTGGCTAGAGCTGAACGATACCTGTCGTTGGTGTCGGTAGACTTCGGTCGGTATGTGTATGGGTGTGGCGTACGAGTCCTTCAATCAGTGAATAATAATAATAATAATTTTAATTAATCACAATTTAATCAAAATTACTATCTAATCAAATCAATAAATTTATTTTTATTAGTTACATAAATAAATATATATACTGTATATATTATATATAATGTTTTATTATATTTAAATTAGAAATAAAAATTACTTATAAATACTATTTATTTATCTATTTTTTATTAATTAATTATATATATATAATTTACTCAGTAATATCTAAATTAATTAATTAATCAAAATAAATAAATAATATTTATAAGTAATTTTTATTTCTAATTTAAATATAATAAAACATTAAATATATACTGTATATACAGTAAATATATATATAATATAAAAATATTTTTATAGTATACTGTACTTTAATTATAAAATTAAAAACATAATACTATAATAATAATAAAAATAATAATACTTATAAATAATTATTAATAACTATCCAAACAAACAAAATAACACAATATTTATCATTTAAATACTAGAATATTTGGTTTACAGTATATAAACAATTGTTTAAAATATTATTTTATAACTTATAACTTATAATAATTATTATTTAATTAATTAAATTAAATAATTAATTAAATTAATTAATTAAAATTACATCAAAATCATACTTCTTGGCCTCTTGTATCCATTTCCTCCACCACTTGGGTTTAGTACGGGTCCTGATCTGTATATTACGGCTACCCTTTTGTATGGCCACATACACTGGGGACTTACAGATGGCCTGTTCGCGCATACGTTGGGGATCGCCATCCGCTTCGTCGATACGGGACTTCCACCGCTTGATTCGCGGACAGGCGTGTCGTAACTGACGGTTCAGCTCGACTTCATCGACACTGACCGCCGATGGCTTAATACGGACCATAATTTTTTTTAGACACAATTTAATTATTATTATTATTATTACATAATCTTTTTAGTATTTAGTATTTATTATTATTATTATTAACATTTTATTTTTTGTTTGTTGAAAAATATTAATATTAATTATATTATTATTTTTTTTGTTGATTTTTTAAACAATATTAATAATGTTTAATAATAAATATATTATTAGTTTATTTTTATTTTTTTTGAATTAAATATATTTAATAAATATTTTTTTATAGTTTATAGTTTTTTTGTTGTTGAAAATATTAATATAAATTTATTTTATTATTATTATTAATATTAATATTTTTTTTGATTTCGAATTTGAAACAATTTTTATAATTTTATAACAAATATATTATTAGTTTTTTATTAGTTAGTTATAAATTTTTTTCAATTAAATATATTTAATAAAAATTTTTCATAGTTTATAGTTTTATTTTTTGTTTAAATTATTAGTAGTTTTTGTTAAACATAAATATTAAGTTAATGTTTAATTTGAATGTCATTTTGTTGTTTAAAAAGCAAACAAACTAAATGTTTTAAAACAATTTATTGTTGTTATATATATAACAATAATTTTTTGTGAATATTATTTGTTTAAATAAGTAGTAGTTTTGTTGAATAACTATTGAACAAAATTACTAATAAAACTAATAATAATAATAATAATAACATTAAATACTGAAATGTTATATAAATATATAATAAAATCAATAAAAAAAATTATTTTTTTATCGCTTTGTATACTTGAAACACATTTTATGCACTAATTATTAATTAGTTTTAACTCTTATCAATTGACATTCATTATATATATATATATATATATATATATATATATATATATATTATATATATATATATAAATCATATAAAATAAAAAAAATATAAATCAAATTAAATGTTTTTTTTGGTGACTTGAAATGTACACAAAATTGCAAATTATTAGTACTTTTATTATAATTATAATTATTATTATTTAGTCTTATTCTAAGTAAATAATAGGAAAATCAATTTATAATAATAATAATATAGTTAAAAAGCTATAGTAAATAAAACATTTAATTAAATATTAATGAAAATAAGTATTTTCATCTAATTTTAATATATTTAAAATAAAATTTATTTAATATTATTAATCATTTTTTTCTGTTATTAATAGTTAGATATTTTTCTTAAATAATGAATTTGAATAACAAATATATAGTTTAGTGAGTAATTTATAAAAATATTTTTATTATTTTTACAATAAAAATAATTTATTATGAAAATGTTTTTTTTATAAATATTTATAAATATATATACCGTATATATAAACTTAAAAAATTAATTAATTAATAATTGAAATAAATATAACATTTATTTATAAGTTTATATACTATTATTGTGATTAATGTTTACAATATTATTGAAATTTTATTTCCTTAATATATTATTACAAAATTTATTTTAATATTTGAATAAAAATATATTTATTTTTAAACAAATATTTATTTTTAAACAAATATTTATTTTTAAACAAATATTTATTTTTAAAAAATAGGATAAATATCAATATATTGATTATTACTGTATAATAATAGTATTTTACTAATAATATTTTAGTCATATTTAATATTATTTAGAAATCTAATTGTTTTTTTATTGAAAATTTATTTAATTTAGTTAAAAACTAATAATAAACATATAAATAGATTATGAATTTAAATAATTATAATAATATTTTATGTTTTTTTAGTAGTTTATTCATAATAAAACAATATAAAAAATAATTAATATTTAAAATAAATAAAATCATTAGTAAATTATTGATAAAATAATAGTCGAGTTTTTATTTGTTTAAAAAATAATAATTTTTTGATGTATTTTATGTGTGTTATAAGTGTTGCTTATTTTATATAAAAAATAAATAAATAAATAAATAGCTGTTATTTATTATTAACATAAATAATTTTATTTATTTATATTATTTTATTGCATTAATAGTATTTTACTTAAATATGTATATTTAAATAAAAATAAATAAAAATACGGAAAACGGAAAATAAAATAATTTATATTTATATAAATAAATATAAATATCATATAAAGTACTTATATATATATATATATATAAATCTAAAAATATAACTATTCAAGCCTTTTAACAGTCATATATATATATATTTAGATATATATATATATATATATATATATATATATATAATTATATAAAAATGTTTGTATACTCTATATATATATTTTTATAATCAATAATATAAAACAATAATATATATATACAGTATACATTATTACATTATTACTGTATATATATAAATATAAAATTATTTTAATAATAAACGTAATATATAAATAAAATATTTTAAGTACATATTCAAAAAATTTTAATATGTTTTTTATGATAATATAAAACATCATTGAATATCATTTATATATATATATATTATGTTAATATATAACAACACAATTGATATGTATTTTTATTAGTGACAAAACACACTATTTAATAGTATAAACATAAAAAATCAAAATCCAATATACAGTATTGGTTTTATGCAAAACAAATAATAAAAATATATATTAAATTTATTTTATTATATATATATATATTTCAAGTTTATATCTCCTCTAAAAAAAACTAACTAATCGATTACATAACTATTTACAGCTACAGTACAGTCAAATCAAGTCTATGGACACGCATGCGGACAGTCGGACAATAGGAGAGCGCAACAGTCGGTACCTTAAATATATATAACGAGAATATACTGTATTTATACATATATATACAGAATATTCTGTATGTCTTTCATATACTTCCTGGCATTTAATGTAAAGAGAGAAAGAGAGAGAGAGAGAGAGAGAGAGAGAGAGAGAGAGAGACTCTGATATTGAAAATTAAGTTTTGTTTGTTTTTTTACGTTTAGTTTTTATTTTTATATTTAAACCTTTACTTTATATATTGATTTTCTTGTAAATTTAATTAGTTTTAAATAAATATTTAATTTAAAGACAATAAATAAATATTACAATTAATTTATAGTTAAAATTACTGTAAATTTTTTTAGTTAAAAACAATGATTATTTCAATTATATATATAAATAGTGAAATATTTATCATATAATATATATATAGTAGTTATCCATTGATGCGCTTAATATAATTGAATTTATTTCCTGGAAATACAACTAATAATAATAATAATAATAATAATAATAATAATAACAATAATACTATATATAATGTTTTATTTTTAAGATATATATATATATATATATATATATATATATATATATATATATATATAATACTTAATATATTTTATTTAATACCAAAAAATCTATTATATAATTATGTTGTTTAATATAATTATCTCGGAGTTGCCATACATAAAGAGTTGACATTTTTATTATTATTATTATTAGAAAATATATTTTAATTAAAACTGAAATTTTATATATTATATATATATATTCAACATTTTATTATTTCATTGATTTTGGTAAGTATTTGATAAATATTTTTTTTAAGTATATATATATATTGTTAATTGAAGTTTTAGTGTATTATATATATAAGTTATTTATAATATTTATTTTTTATCAATTTTTTTGCTAAATAGTTTATTTCTAATCAATATATATAAACCATTAGTATTCAGTATATAATGATAATAATTATTATTATTATTGCTATTATTATTATATATTTTTATCTTAATGAATTTAGACATCTATTCAAAAAATTTTAATAATTATTTATATATTTTTATCATTATTATTATTATCATTATATTTATTACTTTTATTTAATGACTATTTTTTCATACTCTTAATTATATTATTATTATTATGAATAAAATCTAAAATTAATAAATAACTTAATTTTTTTATTAAATATAAAATACATACAGTATATATTAAAGTAAGTAATTTATAAACTATAACTGTTATACTGTAAAAAAATTTTAAGAAAAATTATTTTTTCTTAAAATAGTTATTAAATTAGAAATTATTTTTTGTTGTTGTTTTATTGAATTTATAGTTTAAATCAATTTATTTTTTTCGTATTATAAATTTTATCATCTATAAATAAATAAAAATCAATCAATTAATCAATATATATATATAAATTACTATATAATCTATTATATACTATATGTAAAAAATTTTCAAATACTATAGATATGATATTTAATCTGATAATAGAGTAAAAAAATTTTTTTGACAATTGTTTTATTAAATCACGAAAAAAACTTATATATTATATAATATTCAATATATATTAAATACTTTTATATTTATATACTGTATATATATATATATAAATGCTAACTGTGCTTCAATTTAAAAATCAATAATACATTTTCATAGTATATATATATATATATACTGTATATATATTTATTTATATAAATATACAGTTATAATACCAGTGTCAACTTGATACTGTACTGTAGTGTTATAAATATATATATATACAGTATATATCAGCTCAGGGAGATATTTTGGCATATTTTATATGTGCTCACACATACACATACAAACTACTAGTAGTTTACTAATAAATTAATTTGTTTATATAGCATATATATATATATATATATATATATATATATATATACAGTAAATTAAATATACACTAATGTAAAGTACAAGTAGTATATATATATATATATATTATATTATATAAGTGCTGTACTTTAATAATAATAATAATAATACATTTATTTTTATATCACGGAAATTACACTTTACTTTTAATAGAAAAAACATTAGTAATAATAATAATAATAATAATAATATAAGAGACAAATATTTTATAGGATTTAATTTTTATAAAAGTATTTTATTTTTATTTTTTGTGTATATAGAAATAAATTTTAAATTAAAATTGATTTTTTTGTATTTTAGTTTATACTTTAACCACTATCTCCTGAGATTTGAATCTATAATGAGATTTACTGTTTTTTTTTGTTGAAAAAAATATATAAAATTTATTTTACTGTATTTCAAATATTTTTAATATATATATATATAAATTATATTTACTTTATTTCTTGTATAACTTATTTAATTAATTATATATTAATAAATATTTCAATAGATATTATTTTATTATTATTAAATTTTTAATATAACATTATGTTATTATTATTATTGAATTTTTATTATTAATAAAGATATTAAAAAATTAAAATATTATTTTTTATTATAAATGTTTGTAATTTTAAATGTAATTGATAAAATGTTTTATTTTATTATTTTTTTTAACAATTTTTACTTAAGTATTGTATTTAAAAATAAATTAATTGCCATTTATTTAGTATATTATTATTTTTGTTTTGTTTTTGTTATCTAATTTAAATATTTAAATATATATATATATATATATATATAAATAATTTAATTTTTTATTTTTTTTAGGTAATGTACTAAAAATAATGCCATTATTTAAGTTGGGATTTAGAAATGTTTTCAAACTATTATTATTCAATAAAAACAATAAAAATTTAAATAATAAATCAGTTGATAAAAATAATTTAAAATTATTCAAAAAAATTGCTGACGAAAATTTCAAATGTTTTAGTAATAATAATAATAATAATAATAATAATAACACCAATAATGTTAGACTTGATATGAAAACCGTGAATCAAATTCCCGGTCCGCGACCATCGTTACCTATTATCGGTACCGGTTGGCAATACTGGCCACTAGTCCGGCGCTACAATATACGCCAATTGCCGAAAATATTAGCCGAAAATTTCCGAAAATATGGTCCAATTTATCGGGAAGAACACCGAAAATCGAAACCCATTGTCTATATATGCGATCCGATAGATATTGAAACGGTTTTCCGATTTCAGGGTAAATGTCCGGTCCGTCCGCCCAATGATTTTGTTATCAACTATCGGTCAGAGAATAGCCATAGATATGGATCGGTTGGCATAACTAATATGAATGGCATTGAATGGTATTTATAATTATTATTATTATTATTAAAATATTTTTTTTAAATGAAAATATAGTGTAATTTTTTAATTAATTATAATTACTTTTTTATAACAAAATTTTTTAATTTTAATTAAATTATTTTGTTTTTCCGATTTTAATTAGTATTTATTTAAAATAATATTTAAACATAACTTATTTTTTTTAGATTAAAATAATTAATCAAAACAACAATTAAATTATTATTATTATTATTAATTTAAATCAGTTTTATAATTATAATTATTTTTTTGGTTTTGTTTATTATTATTATTTATTTCTATTTATAATACAATAATAATACTAAACATAATTAATTAACTAATTTTTATTAAAAAAATATGATATTAAAAAAAAATATTATCCTTACTTGAATCAAATTTTATAACTTTTTTTATTATTATTATCATAATATGTTTGATTTATATCTATTATACAGTAATAATAATACTAATACTAAATATAATTAATTAATTAATTTTTTTTGTATAAAAAATCATAGGTATAAAACACGACAACTATTAGCACCGGTACTAATGAGTACCGATATGTTCAACAATTATATACCGAAATTGGTGGACATTTGTGAGGATTTTCGGGACTATTTTGACCGACAGTTAGTTGAAGTAGTAGTAGTAGTAGACCAACAAAAAACAACTACCGATCCTGACGTCAAACAATGTATGGATTTCAGCGAAATTACCTATAAGTTTGTATTGGAATCGATGAGCACCTGGTGTCTGGATAGACGACTCGGTTGTCTGGACAGTAGCACTACTACTACTACTGGCGACGGCAGCTCCGGTAGCTGTCGTCCGGACATTGATACCGACGGTCGACTGATGATTGAGGCCACCCGTGAACTGTTTGCCAGCTATCAGAAACTATTTTACGGTAGTCTACGATTGTGGCGATACTTGAAAACTCGGCCCTACCGACAGTTGGCCAGTTCAGAGTCCCGTATCTATGAGACACTATCGAAATATGTTGATACAGCTATAGCTGGTGCAGTCAATAGTAATACCGATAGTACCGATAGTTTAGTATCTGAAAAAAACTCCCGGTGCTTGATGACCGAACTAATCCAATTGAACCAACTGTCCACCAGTGAAATCAAAGTAACACTAATGGACCTAATTATTGGCGGTTTGTTTACGGTTTCTAATTCATTGAATTTTATTTGCCATCATTTGGCCGGTAATCCTCGGGTTCAACAAAAACTTTTTGCCGAAATTACCGATGTTTTCAATATTAGTAGTAATACTAGTAATAGTGATATAATAACCAGTGATTTGTTAACAAAAATGCCGTATTTGAAGGCCTGTATTAAAGAAAGTTTTCGACTGACACCACCCGTACCGGGAATCCTACGGGTATTGCCAGTGGACGTACAGCTATCGGGTTATACGGTTCCCAAAGGTATACATATATATAAAAAATAAATAAATATTTTTTTAATAAAAAATTAATATTAGATTTTTTATTATTGACTTTATAATTATGTTTAAATAGTTTGATTTAATTAGATTTTTTTTGTGTATGAATATTTACATGAAAATAATAATAATAATAATAAATCAATTTTGTAAGAAAAATAATAAATATATTTTTAAAAAATTACTTTTTTTATATATCTTTATAAATAGTGATCCTAAATTATAAATAAAAAATTATTTAATTAATTAAGTAAATAAATTTAGTTTATTAGTAAATATATATTTATTAATTTTTTTTATTATTTAGCAAAATTGTTATGGATAAATTATTAGTTTTTATTTATTAGTAATTCAATAATTTAGTAAAATTTATTTTGAATTTATTAATTTTTGTATTTAAAAAAAATGTTTATAAGTTTAAAATGTTTATTAAAATTATTATAATATAAATTACTAATATAATTTTTTCAAATACTTAATGTTCACATAAATTAAACATTAATTTTAACTAATATTTTAAGTTTATTATTAACTATTTGATAATAATTTATTTGATTATTTTAATTTATATAAAAAAATAACAATTATATGACTTATTATTTACAGTTTTTAAAAAAAAAAAATGTATTTATTAGTGATTTATTTTTTAATTTAAAAATAAAACTTAATTTAATATTATTTAATAACTGTTTTTTTTTGTTGTTGTCATTTTAAAAGATACCCTAATATTTGTCAACACAATGACCACATGTTTGTCGGATAAATATTTTCATAAACCCGACTCATACATACCTGAGCGCTGGTTAGCAGCCGATAGTAATGATGACGATAGTGGTGGTCAACACCAACCAAAATGTCCAGCATTTTCGGTACTGCCGTTCGGGTTCGGTAGCCGTCAGTGTATTGGCAAACGATTTGCTCAGTTAAACATACAGTTGGCTATCGTAACACTTATCAGACACTATGAACTGTTGGCCATCAATGATGATAATAATACCGACGGTAAAGACAAACTAGAGTTGATCTGCGATTTTCTTATAATTCCCGATAAAAATATCAGATTTAAAGTCAAAAAAAGGAAAGTTTAATAATCTTAATACAAAATAATTAATTAATTAATTATAATTTAGTTTTAATTTATAAAATTTAATTTATATGTTTTTGATTTGTTATTACAATTGTCACAATAATTGCAATAAAATAATAATAATAATAATAATAAGTGTAATTAAAATTTTTATTAAATTATATGTAATTTTGGAGTTTTTACTTTAAAAAATAATTACTAAAAAATTTGTTATCTGTTAAATTATTATTAAAAATATTTTTATTTTGATATATATTTATATTTATATATAATTGTTATTATTGTTGTTATTGTTTATAATAAATATTTTAATAACTGTTGTTAACTTAAATTAAATTTTCAAAAAAATATAATCAAATAAAAATAAAGTGTTTATTTTAAGCAATATTTATTTTATTAAATATTTAATTTATTATTTATTAATTATAAACTATGTATTAATTGTATTATAAATTATTATTATTAGTTATATTATTATTATTCAATGGCAATAAAACATTATCCATATATCGGTTAACATAATTACCGGGAGGACTATAATTGCAAACACTATACAATCGATGACTACGTTGACTGTAGGCCTGAGCGCACCCGACCTTTAGGGTTGACTTCCAGATAACTTGTGTAAAGTGTCCGATCTTACCATTGGATAAACGCCAGTTCCTCCAATTATAATCCCGTATCTCATCATACCATGGCTTAACTATCCTCAGGCACGAGTAGTTTTTCATAAACGGCATAATATAGTGCAGATTTTCGCCATATTTGAACTGATAGGTCGGGTGCTCGAAGATATCCGTCTGGACTAAATAGGCGGCCCTTTCGGTGGCTATCGTTATTAACTGTAATAAAAGTAATCAAAAAAAATAGTAATAATAATAACTATAAAAAAATATTTATAAATCTATACAAACTTTGGGATCAATTTCTAGTGGAGAAACTCCATGAAGACTACGATAATGATTATGCGATTGAAGACATTCATCATTGAAATTGTCATAAATTTCATTATCTATACTATTATTATTAGTATTATTACTAATTTTATTACTAATATTATTATTATTATTATTATTATTGTTAAATATTGTGAAAAATATGATAATTGTTAAAATAATTAATAATAAAATAATTGCTATTATTATTATACGATATAATAATAGTTTATTAGATTTTTGATTAAACAATGATAATGATTGATATCTATGTCTTAAATTGTTAATAAATTTTGCCAACAAATTCAATGCCATAATTAAGTTATAACTTTTACAACAATTTTATTAATTAATTAATTAAAAACATTTTAGTTTTTTTAATCAACAATTATGACTAAAAAATATGATTTTTTGTTTTGTTATAATAAAAACTAAATACACAAAAAAAATGTTAATAAACTTTTAAATACTAACCGCATATTCATATACTATTACTACTACTACTATAAATATATACTTTATATATATATATATATTATATAACATTTCCTAACAAATATATATATATAAATAAATATGACTTCCGTTTTTTTGTTGACTACTATTCCTACTAAATATTTAACAATAAAAAAGTAAATAAATTTTATTTTTGGTGATTTGTACACAAAAAAAATATATCTAAAAATTAAATATATATATTTTAAAATCATAATATATAATAGAAATTATAATAATTAAAAAACTAATATTTTTTAGTTAATTTGTTTTAAAATAAAGTCAATTATATAACCCTAAGGGACGTATAAAAAACAGTTTTAAAAAATGATTTTTTTTTGTGTAAAAAAATTAATAATTTTTCTTAAGGATTAAGATATATCCTTGAATTGATAGCAAATTTATTATAAATTTATTTTATATATGATATTATCTTTAATATATATTGTATGAAAATAAAACACATAAAAAATATCGGGTTTGGACATCATTTTTATAGTTATTTTTTTTTGTTTGAAAGTTTATGGGCAATCAATTAGCAAACATTTATTATGTTTGTCACATAAGTGTATGTATGTGTGTGTGTATGTATGTATGTATGTATGTATGTATGTATGTATGTATGTATGTATGTATGTATGTATGTGTATGTGTATGTGTATGTGTATGTGTATGTGTATGTGTATGTGTATGTGTATGTGTATGTGTATGTGTATGTGTATGTGTATGTGTATGTGTATGTGTATGTGTATGTGTATGTGTATGTGTATGTGTGTAGAGAGAGAGAAAAAAAGAGAGAGAGAGAGAGAGAGAGAGAGAAAGAGAGGAAAAGTTGTTTTAAACTGTAAATCCTTGGCTATTGGTTTTGATTTATTGAAAAAATAAATTATAAAAAAAATTACTAATTTTTTTACTCCAAAACAAAAAATTAATAAATTAATCATTAATAGCATACTATGTTATATAATTAACTTTACAAATTAGTGCTACAAAATAAAAAAAATAAAATAAAAATATTTAGACTAATTATAAACCTACAATTATAATTTATTTTTATTTTTTTTAAAATAAACTCTAATTGTTCATGGATAATTATTTATATATACAATTATTTTGCCATAATTTAAATTATAATTAATAAAATAGAAATTTTTTAATTTTTTTCAAAATATTTTATTTTATACTGTATAAAAATATGAAAAAATTATATAATTAATATAATAGTTAGTTTAAATTTTTAACCTAATCTTTTTTAAGTAATTAATTAATAGATTTATATATTATAAAAAAATTATTATAAATAAAATTTGATTGCATTTATAATATAATATTACAACAGTTGATCAATAATTATTTATTTAATAGTAATTTAAGCATAATAATTTATATTTATATATATATATATTGATTTATATCATATGATATTTCTAATAATAAAATTTATTTTTATAAAATAGTATAATAATAATAATTGATACTATAATGATATACACAGTAATGTAATATCAATGATAATTTATATTATAAATTATATTTTATTAGATATACATTACATTTTTTTAGATTAAATAGTAATTTATATTATAATACATTTATATATATAACTAATTATAGTATATATAATACAGTATATATAATAATTATATTGATAATTAATATAGTAATATATTTAGTTAAAATAAAAATTGTAATTAAATTTAAGGAATAATTATTATTAATTAAAACTATTTTTATAATTAATAATATATTATATTTGTGAACTAATAAATACAATAATTGTAATAATTTAAAATATTATATAAATAATAATAATATAATAATAATAATAATTTAAAAATAATTTAAAAATAAATTAATTAAAAATTTTTAATAGATTTAAATTGTATTTTACATATAACTTATATTTAATAAAATAAAATAATAAACATTAAATATTAATGTATTTTATATTCAGTATATATATATACACTAAAAATATTTTTAGTATATTTATAAAATAATTATTTAATATCAAATAAGGAAAACTTACCAATAATTTTAATTAATTAATTAATAATAAATTATAAATAAATTATATATATATATATATATATTGTTGACATTTAACCGAAACTATTATCTATTCAGTAGGACTTTGATAGTTATTTAACAAAATTTTAAAATCAATTCAAAGTTCCACTGAATGAACAATAGAGGTGTCTATTATTATTATTATTTGTAGCTCAGGTATTAAAAAAAACATACATAAGCTGTTGAACAAAAAATAATATTATTAATTAACAGTCACACACACACACACATACACATACATACCTGTGCTGATTGTTATGATGTTATACTGTGGTAAGGTATCGGTGATTATTATTATTATTATTATTAACAACAATAACAACTAAAATTATATTTATATATATATATATATATATATTTATATATATTAAATAGATATTTAATTTTTTGAAACACATTAATCACATTTTTTAATATTATTAAGAAAAAAATAATAATTGTAATAATAATTGTAACAATAATTGTAACAATAAGTTAATGATTGAATTGTATTTAACAATATAATTGTTTTATATTACATATATAAAAATCTGTTAATTAATGTTTGTAATATATAACATATATGCTAAATGTATTATATTATATACAGTATATATTAATATATGAAATTTAAATATTATATTTAAAAGTATTATATTAATAATGAAATTATTATTATTATTAAATTTTAATGTTTTTTTTAATTTATTTTTTGAATAAAAAACAGGAAAAGTAAGTTTCACTTTAAATATTTAAGTCAAAAAACATATATTATATTATATATATATATTTCTAAACAATTATTATTATTATTTTTATTATAATGATTATCAATGTTAAAATACATTTACATTAATAATTATATATTTAGTAGATATATAAGTGAATAATATTTAAATTACTACACAATAAATAGAGTAGAAAAATAAATAATAATAATTTTGAGACAAATTTTTTTTAATAATTTATAAAAATCTAAAATTTTTATCAATAATATTATCATAACACTGTATTTAAAAAAAACTTATTAATATAAATTATGTTTATTTATTTTTATTAAAATTGATAACATTTTTAATTTACATTTACATTTTGCAGACACAAATAATATTTATTTTTTTTTAAATATCAGTAATTATTTTATGTTTTAAATAATTATTTTTAATTAATTATAATTATTTAGTAATTTGTATTATAAAAATTATGATGATTTCATAGGACACTAACAAATAAAAATTTTTATACACTTAATAATAATAATTTTTAACCAAAAAAATAAATAAAATAAAATAATAACAATTACAACAACAATAACAATAAAAAAATAATCAAATGATTTATTATTAATTAAATTTAAACACTTAATACAGTAATAATAATAATTATTTACAAATTATTTTTTAAATTTAAATTTTTGATATTATTGTATTTTTGTAGTAATATTAAGTTTATACTATAGAAACGTTTTTTTTAATTTATAAAAAAACTAATAATTTTTTTTTAATTTTCATAGATTAAGATC